ACGGATGAGGGACCCAAAATCTACTGAAGTGGCGTACCCCCCACCAAACAGAACCCGAAAAGAGAAAATTCCTTCAGAGTGTGTTAGAATCAGTGTGATGCGGAGGACAACTATGAAAGTTGGGTAGCGCCACGAGAAGTGAAATAACGACAAATGAAGAGCTCACTTCAGATTTTTCGTTCCCTTGGAACTGTGAATCATCTTTCACGGGACTGACGAATGTTTTCAGAAAGCGACCACTTTGCACATTGAACTGATCAATATGGCCTAGAAGGAAAAAGATACGTATGAAAAAATGATCAAACACTCTTAAGTACCTGTAGAATATCCTATGAAAGCAAAGTTGCCACAAGGTGAAAGTGAGATAGCAGTGGCTATGGCTTTGAGTAGCGCGGTATTCTTGGAAAATCGCTCATGCACTAACTGAAACTGTTAAGTAAGACTCCAGACCACACCAAAACTTCATCACCTGCACCAACCTTATGTGTTCCCAAAGAATTTTTTCTTGTAGTCCAAGTCGTCACAAGAAGGGAATCCCTGTAAAATGTCTCAATCAAGAATGCTCTATTCGAGGATTACTCACTTATGTCTGCATAGAACATTGTCCCAAGCGGCTTCTCTACTCCAGCCGATTGCCATGTCGATTACTGGTTCCACTTCAATTGCTTTTAATAGGATATGCCTCTTTTTTGCCAAGGCCCTACAAGCAAGGTAAAGCTGCACTCAGAGAAGACTGACGCAAATTAGTCGTTCTATTGGACGTACCTGGAGATAGTTCCCGCACTTCCCAATTTCTGTCTCATAGTCTCAACATTGACCATGTACTTGCGAACGGAGCCATCAAGGCCAGAAGAGATGACCTGCAGCGGTAGATAAATAATCATACTTTGTTGATGTACCTTCAACCTCCTGTTTTCCGTTGAAGTAAATAGCAGTGACAGCATTTGCGTGTCCTTCAAGGATCACCAACTGACGGGGCATTCCGTCTACACCGTCTAGAACCCAGGTACGAATGGAGTTGTCAGCGGATACAGAAACCTAACATAAAGTTGAGACACAACGTAGTACATAAAAAAAGACTCCTCACCATAACCGGTTCACCAGGCATAAAATACAATTCGGTAACCGCAGCACGATGCGCATTCGAGATTTTGCCAATCATCTGGCGTTTTTCCAAATTCCACACCACCATTTCTCCGGTGATATCAGCGCTGGTCATGAAAGGTTCTTCACCAGTTCTAAAAACTTTGCGTTACAAGGCATCAAACAACTGGACAGACACCGTGAGAATATTACCTGAATCCTATCGCTGTGATTGAGCTTTCGTGACGAAACTTGCATATTGTTTCATCAAGCCGAATATTATGTAAGAATATTTGACCACTAATTAATCCAATGGCCACCACATCAATAGCCGGGGACTGCTCAAGCACGGTCACTGCAGACTCGAATGCTAAAATTTTA